GTCTTCATGTGTATATCTATGTCTACAGAATGCGTGTGCTCGAAAAGGAGTAGGATGAAGTTTACACTTTTCTTGTTCCTACACCCTTATTTCAAATTTCATTGCTTACAAATCCATATCCAGGATTCAACATTATTTGATCATATATGGTTAACTATGTACAAGTCTAACACATTGAACATACACAAATAAAACCATTTTCAGAACGTAAATCAGAACAACAACAAACTACATTTTACATAAACTAAAAAAAAACATCTCTCTGTGCGAAATGGGTTTAAAAACATAAACAACTGCGGGACACTGTTTCTTTGTGATTTGACCAGGGGGAACAAATCATAGCAGGATCATCCTGATATTATTTGTATCCCACTGTAACTTTACTGTATAAAGAGCTAACATCTCCAACATGTCATTATAAGAAGTGTTTGTGAACTAAAGGGATGCATCAGAGGGAAGAACTGTGAACTAAACACAATCAATAACGTTGAAATACTTACCAAATGGTGCATATTGTCAGGATCCTGGGTCATTAGCGTTACTTCCCAGTGTATTTAAACCCTGTGTTTCTCTGAGTCAGTGTCGCGTCGTCCCTCATGTTGTGTGGGTCTCCCTGTGAGTTTAGGTTGTGATTTTCTAGTTTAGTTTAGTTTGCGTTTGTATACTTTTTTTCCCCTGCCAGCAAATAAAGCTGAGTATTTTGAGTTCATCCCTCGAGTCCGAGTGCCTGCATTTTGGGTCCAACTCCTACCTGCCACACAGCGCTTCCTGACACATATTAAGTGCACTCAACTGATACACTTATGGAGACTTAAGGGAATGGAATTGAACATTGTGAATATTGAAGTATTAAGGTGAACTAAATGTTTGAAAGGAGTTAAATGTTTTTTGGTTCATTAAATGTTTCAAATTTTGAGTCCAAAACAAAATGTCTACAAAAGAGACTGGAGCTTAGGAAAAACAGAGTCCAAAACAATTCAGGTGGCCGACCCGGAGGCCAGCGACAGAGACCAAGCAGTTCAGGTGGCAGACAGCGAAGCCAGTGGCGGTGACGGAGCAGATCAGGAGGTTGGCCAAGTAGAAGGCGGCAAAATAGTTCAGAAGGCCGCCAACATCGTTAGCCAATGGCCTGGAAAGTGGCCAGCGACAGTGTGCTGGGCGTGGACGAGCAGGCTGTGCTGGACATGGACATGACAGCAGCGTGGCAGCTGCAGGACCAAACAAGGCAGGACCAGACGACAGTATGGCAACCACAGGCAATGGAGCAGGTGGTGGTGCTGCAGGTGACAATGTGGATGCTGCAGGCTAGATGGACTCCTCAAACCCTCCACCGGAGATGGATGGCTGAAGCGACCCCTCGGGACCTCCAGTGGAAACGGACAGCTGGACAAAACGGAAGCAGCAGGGGCAGAAATCTTTGGCAGAGACAAAGCAGAACCAGCAGGCACGGAAACCTCTGGCAGAGACGAAGCTGGCTGGAGCTGTGCAGGGCATTGGCTCTGCTCAGGCAGCAACAGCAAGGTACAGTCTTAAGCTGGTTGAAAGAGTTCATCTGAGCTTCCAGCAGAGAATGGAGGTGGCTTGGTTAACTTGCCCAAGCTCTTAACAGAGACTGATTGCTGAGACAGCCCGGCAGAGTTACCAGGTGACACAGGTTGCGTCTGCATCTTAGTCTCCAGGGGTCCACAGCCAGCCGAGGGATGAGACCCAGCCTCTGGGGAGGCCCTGGACAGAGTGACAGCATCCAAAAAGGCCAGCTTTCGAGAAACTGCTAAAGTCTGTGTAAGACTTGCTCCCTGCTTAGGATGAGAGGGTGGAAGTGGTGTTTGAATAGGTGGTTGAGCTAACAGCTGAGCTGCTGGCAGAGCTGCAAACTAAGCAGGTTACTGAGTGGCAAACTGAGCAAGGTACAGAGCTGCAGGCTGCGCTAATGGCTGAGGTATGGGTTGCGCTCCAGGCTCGAAGGGAGCAGACTGAACACAGTCCTTCAAACTCAATATAGGCTCAGAAAAGGCAGTCTTGGTGACAATAGTCACAGGGGAAGCAGGGAAACCACCATTATCCTCATTTGCCAAACAAAACACAGCCCCAGAATTAACAGCCCCAATGTTTGAAAAAGCCGGCATCCGGCTATGGGGCAGCCGCTGCTTCCTACTTAGAGGTGGCTCCAACGGCCCAGGCAACATCGCGTCCAGCTGGCTGAGATGCAAAGCTTCCGGCGGGCCAGGCTGGTAAGTGGTTGCAGTCAGGGGGTGAGGGTGCAATTCACTGAGAAGAAAATCCTGAGCCAGTGGGTGCAGTGAACTTAGCAGCCAGGAGAGACCGGAAACTGGTCGCTGTAGCCGGGTCGCTGTAGCCGGGTCTCTACAGCGCAGTTAAACTCCCTCCCTGAATGATTCAGCCACAGGTTGATTTGTTTCTCCACAGAATACATGATATCTTCTCGGAGTTGCACTGGCTTAGATGCAATTAGTAAGCTTTATTTACTTGTCATCGAAATACAGACTGAAACGGGGATGGCAAGGACAGAAACTAAGAAATAACCTAAACTGGGGAAAATCTAACAAATTAATCTGAAACCTAAACTCAGGATGACATGCAGGGAAACACAGAGTGGAACACGGGATGATACGCGAAGGTAATATGGACAGACCAGTGACGAGCACAAGAGAACACACACTGTAGCTGTGTCCAAATTCAGAGGCTGCATCCTTCGGAGGCTGGATTTGTAGACCGATTACGTCACAGCAAGGGGACAAAGGCTGTCCAAATTTGAAGACTCCTCCAAAGGTGGCCAACAAATGCATCCTCCTTTTCCCCAGATTTAAAGGATGGGTTGGGTCTATCCTTTGTGGCCCACCATATCCCAGGATTCATTGTGAATCAAAGCTTGAAGAATTTTTTTTTTTTTAAAAAGTGGTGGATGGTCGAAGTGCAGCAGTCCAGAAATAAACTTTTAAAAGTAAGTACTGTTTTTTTGTCTAAATAAAAATATCCAGTGGAACAAATATTAGCATAGTGAAAACTCTTAAAAGTTACATTTAGCTAACCTTCGGCTAAGTTAAATGATATTAGTGATATTGCCACTTAAAAAATTATTATATAATTTTATGTATAAAAATGTATTTTCGGTTCTATTCTTTTTGTATATGAGTGTGTGTTTTTTTGCTGCTGATATAACCAAATTTCCCCTTGTGGGGCAATTAAAGGATTATTCTATTCTATTCTATTTTACATAAAGTGTGTCCATGTGATAGAAAACTGTGTTTTCATTTTGCAAGTTAACAGATATTTGATAAACTTCTGCTGCTTCTTTTGTTAACTGCCATGGGTGCTTTCCTTCTGCAAGTGTCCAGAGTCGGGAGACACTGCGAAGGTGAGAGGTGACAGGACAGAGGCTCTCCACCCCTTATGATACACCAGGACAGATTCAGCAGTGTTTGAGAAAGAGGAGGGGGGGAAGGAGCCAGCAGGAGCAGAGAGATGGAAAAGAGAACATAATGGAGCTTATTAAATAAAAAAGTTCAAAGAGCTGTGAAAAGTTGTACATTCATAAAGTGTGTCAGTATTTTATAAGGATGTCATGTTTCTGTATCAGCTCTCTTACCTAAACAGCCTGTTTTATGCTCTGATATCTTCAACATCTTAAACGACTTACATTGTACAGTTCTCTCTCCAATGAAAAAATACTTACTGCATTGGTTTGTCTTCCATTTTAACTGAAATATACAAGGATCAAATCTTTTTAGTTTAATTTTGGGACATTGCCATTAAATATAACTAAAGCTTTCAGACAGTGGATATTGATATATGTCTGTTAGACAGCTGCAGGGGTATAAATGATATGAAATATTTGAGACAACTGATTTAACCTCCTAAGACCCGAACTCTTTCATGGCATGCATTTTTAATTTCTCGTTGCTCTTTGGGCTGATTGAGACCTGTTGAATGTAAAAATGAAGAATTACCAGATTTTCATTTTTTACCTGATTTTTGTAAAAAAAAAGGATGGTCAGAGGGCCCGGTGGCACCAGTGTCCGGCAGCCTCGCCTCTGTCAGTGTGCCCCAGGGCGGCTGTGGCTACAATGTAGCTGCCATCACCAGTGTGTGAATATGTGTGTGAATGGGTGGATGACTGAATGTGTAAAGCGCTTTGGGGTCCTTAGGGACTAGTAAAGCGCTATACAAATACAGACCATTTACCTTTTTTATTTTTTGTCAAAAATGAGATCCACATATGAGGACATTTGTTTTAAATTTCGATAGAACAGTGGCAGTATAACATCCTCATAACTGGATATCAGGCCCTTGTAGAGCTAAATTTAGTATTTTGTTCTAGACAACCGAAAATGTGATGTCCATATATGTGGGCGCCAGGTCCTAGGAATTAAATTTAACCACTGAGAATTTTTTTTAATGGTGCATATACAGTAAAATATCAATAAGGTAAATCCTGTTAAATTTGTACCATCAAATGAAATGAGTCTTGTTTCAAGAACTACACTAGAAAACTAGTTTACTAGCTAAACTTGGCGAAAGGGACGGTGCATGGCTGTAATGTTCACCCAGATACATCACATGTAAATGAAACAACACAATTTTCTCCAGTAGAAGTTTATCAATGATATGAAATAAAGATTTTCTCTATTTCTGTTGAACACAACTTTAGCTCCGTATGTCGTAGTTTTTAGGCAAAAGAACTAGCATGTTGTAGGCTTGGCCATCCAATTTCACAGCGGCTCGTTTCTGGTTTTCACAGTCTTTAAAGGATGCAGCTCTTGAATTTGGGCACAGCTTATAAATAAACAATAACATGACAAGACAGGGAGTAGGCAAAACCAGGAAACATGAACATAGAACCAATCACACTAGACATAAGACAAAGGAGGCACAGAGAACACTTAAACACTGGGTATTTTTTTAAAAAAAATAACAAAACCACTGAATGTTAATAAACAAAATATATAGACATGGAGTCCACAGACGAGGAATCAAACATCTTGTAGTTTCTGACACTTTGCATGTTTAGCATGAGGCTAAAATTCCCCCTCAGTGGGTCACTGGTGACCTGCTGGATGTTCAGAGGTTC